TCTTTCAGACTCATTTTTCGCTGTGAACCCTTAAGAAATTTGTTGCCTCAGTCATCTAGGTTACCTAGCTACTTCTAGGCATCCATAGAGATCATTTCAGGTTGGGTCCTAAGAAATCCACTTTTATTTTGGAGGAGGAAATAGGATATGGCAGTACCTTATTTTATGCTGGAGAGGAGTTGTTCTTTGGTAATTGAACTGCCCGATCTTGTCTATGACCTTTTTTTTTTTCCCACTGAAGGTGTCTATCATGTTGTTCCTCAGTTCTTCTCGAACAGAATTTTTTATCAGTAGTATGATGTACATACCTAGGATTTTTTACACTTGGCATTCATGACCATCTTCCACTGAAAGTCATTTTCGGCTGAGAAACCAGTCTTCCGTACACCTAAGATCTCCGAAGGGCGTGACTTAATAATGATGTTCAGAACATCGCTGCAGCAGACTGGCAGCTTTTAAATTAGGCTCAAAGCATAATCAGTGGAATGCTAGCCCCCAGCAGCATTTCCTGCAAAATACCCGACTGATTGAATCAGTTGCACAGACATAGGCTCTTGGATGCTTTCCTATTTTCCAGTCAGAAATCCCAGAACATTAAAAAAAAAAATTGCAAATGAAGTATTTTAATCTAAATATTTATGCTAATAATTTATGCTAATAAAAATTACATTTATGGTGGTGCATTCGATATGCTTAAGGGAAGCCATTCAGAGGAAACTTGACAGGCTTGAGATGTGGGCCCATGTGAACCTCATAAAGGTGAAGAAGGACACGTGCAAGGTGCTAATCCTGGGTAATCGCCACTGTCAGCACAGACTGAGGGATGAAGGGAAATGAGAGTAGTCCTGCAGAGAAAGACTTGGGGATATCACTAGATGAAAAGCTGGACATGAGCCGATGATGTGCACTCGCAACCCAGAAAGCTGACCATATCCTCAGCTCCATCAAAAGAAGCGTGGCCAGCAGGTGGAGGGAGGTGATTCTCGCCCTCTACTCTGCTGTGGTTAGACCCCACCTGCAGTTCTGCTTTCAGCTCTGGTGTCCCCACCACAAGAAAGACATTGACCTGATGGAGTGAGTCCAGAGGAGGACCACGAAGATGATCAGGGTGCTGGAGCACCTTTCCTGTGATGAAAGGCTGAGAGAGTTTGGGTTCTTCATCCTGGAGAAGAGAAGGCTTTGGAGGGACCTCATTGCAGCCTTTCCATATATGAAGGGGGGCTTATAAGAAAGACAGAGAAAGACTTTTTACCATGGCCTGTACTGCCAGGACAAGGGGCAACGGTTTTAAACTGGAAGAGGGTAGGTTTAGTTTGGACATATTGAAGAAACTGTTTTTGATGAGAGTGCTGAGACACTGAAACAGGTTTCCCAAAGAAGTTGTGGATGCCCCGTCATTGCAAGTGTTCAAAGTCAAGTTGAAGAGGGCTTTGAGCAACTTTATCTAGTGAAAGATGTCCCTGCCCAAGGCAGGGGGTTTGGACTAGAGGATCTCTGAAGGTCCCTTCCAACCCAAACCATTCTGTGATTCTATAATTCTAAAACTGGCCACTAAAACTTGTAGTAAAATAGTGAACATCACAAGCTAGCGCTATGGGTTTGATTGTCTCAGCAGGGAACATGCCATGGCTCATACTGCTGCAGGAGACCTGAGTTCCATTCACAGCTCTTGATCTGCGTGTCACGCATGGTTATACCTGGCGCACACAGTGTTCAGAAAGGGCAGCACATTCAGGAGCTTGCTGCTCTGAAACAAAAGTCAGATTGCTTCCCTGGTATATCCCCCTTCTAATTTGTCGTATGATACGGTTACAGGAACCTATTTTTAGC